CACTTTGGAGTCTGTCTGGAGAACAGCTGGAATTTGGGTCCTGTCTCTCTCTAGGCAGCGGGGCAACTGAATCTTCAGGCTTGATTTCTAGAGAGCACAGGAGCTATGGGTTTAGAGGCAGCAGGCATGCTGCAGGTAGAGTGAGGCAGAAAGTAGAAAACAAGCTTAAGTGCACGCTACCCGGGGCTCTCAAAAGCCAACTCCACGTCTGTCCTCGTGGTCAGGATGAATAAGCCCTTCACTAGAGAATAAGTTCTGCATGCTTTAACAGACGGAGGCCCCAAACAGACAGAAAGTATTAGTTACTTTTTCATTGCTGTGATAAAGTGTCATGACGAAGGCAAGAGTTCCCGGTCCATTATGGTCATGCCAGGGAAGTGTGGCAGAAGACAGGCCTGGTGGCTGAAGCAAGCTGAGAGCTCCCATCGTAAACCACAGAGAGAAAACTGGGATTGGTGTATGGCTTAGAAACCTCAATGTTCACCCCCCAGTGACACACCTCCATACCTCCTAAACCCCGCTAAACAGTGTCACCAACTGGGAACCAAGTATTGAAACATCTGAATCTCTGGGAGATGGATATCTCACTTAAACCATCACACAGATGCAGTGTACTTGCTTTCCCAGACAGGGTCTCATGTAGCCCAGGCTGATCTCAAATTCACTGTGTAGTCAAGGTCTTCGAGGATGGCCTTGAACTGCCTGTCTCCCAAGTGCTGGGGTTTCAAGCATGTGCCACCATGTACAGTACATGCAGTCCCAGGAATCAAACTGAGGGCTGCCTGCATTCTATCACCGTGGTCTGTGACTGGGCTCTATCTCCAGTCCACATGGATGCTTTTGAGGATGACCTGAGGAAAGTTAATTCAGGTGGCAGGGTAAAATGTGAAATAACTAATCACTAAACACTCCCCTGGGGACAGATGATGATGTGTGGGGAGGAGACGGGAAGACACCACACACACAAAGAGCATTCTTAGAAAACAAGTCAGCGAGGTAGCACATGTCTATGGCCCTAGCACTCAGGAGGCAGAGACAGAGGACCATGAGTTCAAGGCCAGCCTGAGCTATCTAGTGAGAGCCTGCCTCAAAACACTAAAACCAACTAAAGAAAGAATTCTGTGAAGTAAAAAGAATATATGAAAGCTGAGATTTCAACAAAGTAAAATATATATATAGGCTGGCATTAGAGGCTGGGAAGATGGCTCAGCAGGGTTGCTCTTGTAGAGGATCCTAGTTTTTTGTTTTTGTTTTTTTTTTTTTAAAGGTAGAAACATCACCTCTTTTATGATGCTGATCTGAAGGTACATCTCCAGCAGGATGAAGAAAAGAGATTCCTGTCACCTGAAAGAGAGATGAAGCCTTCACACAGTGACAGCCATTATACACATACGGGCTACAGAATAGGCTGGAACACGTGGACTTTACAGTGAGGCTGCCCGGCCATTTCCTTGCCTTTGACACAGGTAGTATCATCAACTGTTTAATACTTTCCAGCTCTTACTCCACTGTAGCACACCAGAAAGAACTATCCACAGAGAAGCAACTCTACAACAAAAGTACATCAGCCATCTGAGTTTAGTTGTGATGGGGATGACTCCTTACATATACTTTAAGATTTTTATCTTAAATGTCTATAGGAAAGCATAAGAATGTGATGTGCACAGTGTGATTGACCTTGAACACATTTCCATGTAATCACTACCCAAGGCAAGATTGAGGGTGCCCTCATGTTCCTGTGTGACTCCCATTCCTCCAATAGAGGTAACCAATAGTGGTTGTCACGGCAGGAGACATGAGAGGTAACAATGGGGTGGGGGTCCTCAGGGCTGGAGACCTGAGAGGTAACCAGTGGGTGGTCCTCAGGGCTGGAGACATGGTTCAGTGGTAAGGGCACATGCTGCTTTTGCTGATGATTGCAATTGGGTTCCCAGTAACCACATCGAGTGGCTCACTGTTGCCTGTAGCTCTAGTTTCAGGGGATCGTGTGACCTCTTCTGGTCTCCTCAGAAATCTGCATTCACATGCACACACTCTTACACAGATAGACACATAATTAAAATAAAATACAATCTTGAAAACTAATTGGGTTGTTTCTATTTGGGATTGTCATGAATACAAGTGTTGTGGTCCAGGACCTGGAACGGCAGAGAGAGTGGCTTGTTCTCTGGAAAAGGCCAGGATGCTAAACTCTGACTTGGCCAGGTAGGTGGGCTGTTAAATTCTTAACAACCATTTCTCAAACATCTGAGGGGCTCAGAAGCTGGGTTCTCACTAAGCCAAGATCACCAGCAATTGGCTTTATTACCACTGCCCATCTCTGTGGCAAGGAAACCCCAGAACATCCCAGGAAGAGATTTCGTAATGGGAGTGCACCTTGGAGGAGTTACCTGGCTTTGTGGGTGAACCCTGTGAGCCGCCATGAATCCCGAAGGCCAGTGCCTCAGTGAAAGCCGCTCCTCTGTTATAGGAACCTCTAGAGCAGAAAACAGGAAGGAAGCTCATTAGCTTTCCTTGGTACAAACTGGTATCTGAGGAACCTGACATCGATTAACATGATGTTTTAGGATGCATGGTTCAGGAGAGATCACCTGGGAGATGGAATCATGTAGGTCCCAGGGAGAGGGAGTTGTATTGGTAACTGTAGCATGGGGTAATTCATGCTGAAGAATTAATGACATTTAGAGTAATCTCCTAATACTTTATGGGGAAGAGATGATGAACAGCTGGACTGAACACCACAAAGATAATTATGAGGTTTTTCACAAGTGGATTCTGGGAGATGTAACATATCTTGCTAGAACCTGTCCCCACTGGCTTGGGGGAGGGAAAATATCAAAATAACTAATTGTTTCAGATACTATGTGCCCATAAAGTAACTCAAGTGAATCTGCCATTTTGGAGACTAAACATACCATGTTGTTTCATGCATACTCCTCCCTGTGCATCCACAGGGGACTGGACCCAGTAATTCCTAAAGTTGACGCCCAAATGGACAGATGCTCAAGTCCATAAAGTAATGTGTGCCAGTATATATGTACAATTTATCCACGTCTTCTCATCTACTTCGTCATCTCTAGATAATGCAGTGTGAAGGATGGTTAAGTAGTTGCTTGCAGGTGTTAGACCCCCGAAAACTCAAGTATCCGGGGTCTCAGGCCAGGTTCGCGGTCACCCCAATCACCAGGCGGATTCGAGAGCTTGCTGCAAACTGCACGAGGCTTTATTGTAATTTAACGAACTAACCCCATGTTAGCTCGGGTCT